CCATCTTTCCAAATATGCACAGACCTATTATCTCATCATTATCCTTTTCTTTATTCCTGCTCTTATCCTACTTGTTTAGTGTTTTATTAACATATGCCCTGACACTAATATCTCCAGTTTTTTAAGCTTGCACAACAATGGAAATCGTAAGAAAAAGGGAATCCTAGCCGTGCAGGTCATTCCTCCCTGTTCATTTAAAACTAAGGAGAAGAAAGCAGATAGAAAAACAGTCAGCAGGGCACTTCATTGACTGACAGGGACCAGAGCAGCCATTAGCCTCAAGTGTTAAGAGACTACCACAGGGTGATTTCAATTACCCTGCTCTGCCCCAGTAGGAAGACTGGACAAATGGATAAAAGGATATTTTGGGAAAAGTAAGTGATGGAATTGGAGAGACATATATTCTATATAACATTGCATTGCTTCATTTCTTTTCCACAAGGATACTGTCAGACAGTAAACGTTCAAGAAATGAAGTATGTCCGTGCAGGGAAAGAGGACTACTTGAGTTTTACGGTTGAATCCGCAAAAAGTTAAAATACCTCTTCAGCTTTTATTTGACCTTCCACTGCCTTTCACTGGCATTCATCTCTGCTGCCACAGCTCCAACATTTATGTCTCTGTATGTTTTCAGTGTTTAACACAGGTGATATTCCTATACAGAGAACTCTTTACGTGTTAAGGGCTTTTATAGCTGAGAGAGAAGATTAATAAAAAATCCTTTATATTTATTAACTGCTGTCTTTAAATGACATTTAGATTGATAGTGAGCACGACTTTCAGTGGTATCTAGCGGCATTGTGGTTTCTTCTATATAACAGCCATAGCAAAGGGCACTGAGTTGTGAAACTGCTCTTGCTGGCCCAGTCACCTCAGCATTTAAAAATAGATCACCAGAGGCAAATTACTTCCATATAAATTTTTATTCATCAAGGCAGCATGGACAAACGTAAAATATACAGATTTGTGCCGCTAAGCTAACAAAGCATGACCTTGACAGTGCTGGTCTTTAGGGGCACGACTTCAAAACAGAGGGAGCATGCTGCATCTGCTCTGATATAACCAGGCTCTGCTAGATTTTGCAGCAGTTAAACTTCAAACCCTACATTTCTAAGCTCATCCAGTCTTGTTTGCTTCATGCAAGGAACATTGCAAAAAATCTAATCTACACTATCAGGCAGCAACTTGGACATTTTAATAATAATAATTTATTTGAAAGCGCCTTTCAGAATACTCAAGGACACTGTACACAGTAGAATAATAAAAGCAACATAAAAACAAGCAGTTTACACAATCATAAAAGCATTTTAGTTCACACTTTAATCTTCCCTTGTCTTCTCTTACACTCCTGTCTTCACTTGGTTCAAAAAGCAGCCCATATACTAAATAATAGCCAGTGTTCACTCCTCAACCCTTTTCTTCCCTTCCCGTGGCTCCCAGCGAAATTCAGAATTAATTTAAAAACTTTATTAATTACTAACAAAGACCTAAATAGAGGCTCCTTGGTACACATTTTCCTTACAAGTGAAAGACCCCTGGCTCAGTCCTGGAAGAAGACATCAATTCCTTTGGGATTGTATCAGGAAGGACATCCGGCTAAAAATCTGTCAAATCAAACATGCAGAACTACCCCCTGTGAATAAGGGAGCAGCTGAAAGTAGCACACACTGACAATGCCCATGCTCCTGCTTATTTAGTGATCTGGGAAGTCTTTATTCAAGCAGTTGGTCTGATTGGGGTCACTTTTGACGATTGCATGGTCTCATTTTAAATCCAGAACAGGCTTTTGAGGTTATAGAACCTTCGGCTACAGAACACACAAAAAATACATATGTGAGGCCAAATATATGACATTTCTGTGTATGAATGTTGTATAAGTCTTCGTCCCAGTTGTGAAGTACTTTAAAAAGTGCATTTATATTTATTATTAATAGTAGCAGGAGGAGGAGTAGTAGAAGGAGTAGTCCTTAACAGGGACAAGCAGGAGTCTTCATGGTCTATGACATGTGCCCACAACATCGTAGTCAGAGCAGGTGGAAGAGAGCTGAGAAAGGCGGAGGTATGCTAAAGAGATAAGAGGAAATGTGAATGAGATGGACTCTGGTGTAATAGTGAAGAGTTAGTGAAGGTGGCTGAGTTTAAATACCTGGGGGTCAACTATCCAAAGCAACAGACAATGCACAAGAGAGGTGAAGAAGAGAGTGCGGGGAGGGAAGATAGCAGCAAGATTGAAAGGTAAGGTTTACAAGATGGTAGTGAGACCTGCTATGATGTCTAGCTTAGAGACAGTGTAACTAAAAAAAGACAAGAGGCAGAGCTGAAGATGTTAAAATTTTAATCTGTAGTGACAAAGAGGGACAAGATTAGAAATGGGTAGTCAGAGGGAAAACGCAGGTTGAGTAGTTTGGAGATAAAGTTGGAGAGGCAATACTGGGATGGTTTGGACATGTAAAGAGAGATAGTGGATATACTGGACAATGGATGGCACTGCCAGGCAGGAGGAACAGTGGAAGACCACAGATAAGATTCATGGATTGAGTGAAGGAGGGGATGGTGTGACAGGAGAGGAAGCTAGCGATAAGGAGAAATGGAGGCAGATGATCTGCTATGGTAACACCTAAGGGAGTAGCCAAAAGAAGAAGAAAGAGCTAATTATTCAGAAAGTTATTGGTCATGCGCACCTCTTGGATAAACTCTGCTAAGTGGCTGGAATTTATAGCATGCTAGTAGACAATTACATTAGACAGTTGCTTGTGTAGTTTGATGGACAGAAACTGAACATGAGAAGATGTGGACCTGCTGGAATTATTGCATTTGACCATGGAAAATAAAAAGTATGCTGCTTTTAGCTGGCTTGCTGGGATTCAGTGGCCACATATCTTTCTCGCATTGTCTGAATACTGCTCTCTGCCTAGCTAAAAGCTACACCTTTTGGGTTCTCTTAGCATATTTCATGTGGTAATACTTATCAGAGTGAGCTCAGTTGTATACTCTTAATTAGCAAGTGTAGGCCTAAGTAGACTGAGGAGCTATAGTTGTTAGCACTGTTGGACTAGCTAACCCTGCAAGCCGATACTATGATGCTAACTTTCAAGCACATACTTGGTTTTCACATATGCCAATGTCATTGCGATGGTTTGTGGTTACCAGGCCTACAACTTGGTCTTGAAGTCTGCCTTGAAGTTAGCTGCATATCATTCCTATAGCACACAGTGAATGATACACACAGGAAAAGGTAGAGTGGCTTGGATGTGCCAATCCAGGAGCAGAATGTCAGGAAATGACTTTTCTGGAGTGTTGGAAATGACAGATGGTGTAAAAAGGAGGATGGGGAGGAAATAAGATGGCGGATCATTAATCATCTCAGAAACCATTTATTCTAAATATATCTTCTACTTCCACACCTTTGTACCTGCCTTTGTGAACAGCTTTTGTGGGTTATTATTTTTATTGTGATATAAATTGTCAAATGTAAAGCACAAGGTTCAGACACCCAGGACTTGAATGAAGACATCTTTTCACTAGTCTTTCATGCATCTCAAAAGACATTTTGATTTGAGCAGACCCCTTCAGGTTCCCATTTCAGGTGCTTGCATACATCTAAAGCCTCTAGTGGTATTTATTCATGACAACCTGTTCCTTTACACCATCCACATCACACAGGTTTGCTTTCCCAGCTTCCAAAAAGACAGTTGTCACCACAGTGACAGGAACACCCCAGTGGCTGAGCTACAGAAGAGTGAGTGGAATGTGCACCGAGTACATATTTTACAGCTAAAATGTGAATTGATGGATGCAGCCGTTCATATTTGCACAGAGTTTCTCCTTTTCTGGCGTTTCTTTTTTGCAGGCTCTTTCGCTGATGTTTGTTTTATTGATGGGACACAAACACGCTTGTGCAAATGACTGCGAGGAAGTAGGACAAAGGGATAAAAAGGATCAATCTTTCTTTGTCACTCTACTGTACAGCATTCTCTGCATCTATGTCCCTCATTTTGCCCAATGAAGCTGTCCTCGTCGTTGCATTTGAGAACATTTTGTCTGTGTGCTATTAAAGAGCAGCCAGTAATAAGACGAGGGACGCTTTGCGAGCTTCAGATCTGGCAGTGCCGTACAAAAGGTGGCCACACAATAAATCTGGCTTGATAAAGCCTAATGAGTGATTCACAGTCGCACAGTAGCCCCTGACAGCAGGCAATTTTTAGCTGATTCACCTTATCGGACCATTTTCAAGGACACGCTTCTCACTCCCACTGTAAATATTTTGCAAGGTCAGGGGAAGAAAGACATTCCCCTTGCAGGCGAACAATGGCTGTCTTTGTCAGTCCTTAATATTTCAAACCTTGGTTGTTTTTTTTCTCTGGTAGCCTTGAGTGCAAAGCTGCCATCATTGATATTTTGTAAAGTAAAACTGTTCAGCAAAATACTCTTTCTTTCTTTTTTATAGCGTACTCCCAGAGGAATCAAGGATGCATAAAATAAACCTCTGACAGAAGTAAGGAAGAAATCCAAAATAAGTTTTGATAATATTTACCCAAATAAAAGCATATAGAAATTATTGACATTTTCTCTGCAATGGTAGCCTAAGCCTTGGGAGCTCTGTTTTCCTTATATGATCTTTGTGGGCAAAGCATACATTGAAAATCAATTGATCCCTCAAGCAGGAAATCAACCAGCCTACAGAATACAAGGAGTCCATAAATGATTAGGACAGCAAGCTGTGCAGTTTTTACTTTAAACCAAACTCCAACTTTTTACACCAAAAGAGCGAGTCGGTGTTTGGCGCTGTTTGCTCAAACCAACTAAAGTCCTGGTATGGCTGCTGTGGTTGGATTTCCAGGCGAGCTTCCTAGAGGTGCTTCTCCCACAGTACAACTACTGCCCCAGCAGTTTCTGTTCCACACCCCAGTGCCACTGGATAGATGGTTCCTGCCAGAACCCTCTGAGTGAATTGATTTGACCTCCTTTATTTGTTTTGTCTTTGTTCTTTCTTACCATAGGCAAGCCCAAAGTTGAACTGACCTACGACAAGATGTACACAGTAACCAGCCGACTGACGTTCACCGTTAGCAAAGAGGATGACGGCGTACCTGTGATCTGCATCGTCGACCACCCTGCAGTCAAGGACTTCCAGGCACAGAAATACCTGGAGGTGCAGTGTAAGTGCTTCAGCTTGGTAATAAATTAGAAATCAGCATTTGATGGATATTTAAACAGCGCTATACTTTCCCTTTTTTCCTTTTTTCTGAGTATCATCTGCCTAACTCATCATCTTAATTCAGAAAAATGGACCGGATTAGAGAAGAGTGTTCCATTCCTACTAATTAAATGGAATAGATTTGCTTTTTTCTTACCCGCAACTAAAAGTTTAATGCATGAGGTGTGGCAGTGACATTGAAAGAAAATTATGCATGTTATAATGAATAAAAGGGGAAATTGGACTGTAACACAGTAGACAGTTCTATCTTCACTAATTAAATGACATAAACTTTCCACAACCTATCCCCCCACCACCCTCTGAAAGTTTGGTGAAAGGCTTTGCCATTGGAAAAAAAAAAGATTCATCTTGTGTGAGTAGGAAAAAATGAATGTAGAGGTGGTTTACAGATGTAACAAAGGAGAAGGTGTACAGGGTTCATGCAAAGCTGGGGTTGCAACAGAGAGGGTGAGATGGAGGGTGACGATCGACCCCTGAAGGGAGAGCTGAAAGACGACGTGTTTAGTTTCCTCCGGAAAAACATGTCGGTGTTAAATTTGAATTTCACTTTGCTCTTCTCACCTCTTTGTGAGAAGCATGGAAAAAAATCTGCAGATCTAGTTGAATGCAAAACAGATGCATACTTAAAAAGCTATTATCTTGGTGGCACAATGGCCAGCACAAGCAGATCTTTTCAACTGGTGTTTTCCTGACTTCAGACATGCTTCGGTTGCCTGTGGAGTATTTTGGTGCAAACAGCAGAGTGCACAGTGTGCAGGTGGTAGTGTTTTGTGGAAAAAATATTTCACATGTGCATCAGAAATAAATATTTTAGAGTTGTGTTTTTTCCCCTAACCTAATGTCAATCATTTCATTAGGAAGTGCAAACAAAATGCACGGCAACTATTTACTACAAATATTTGCTACAAATGCACGGCAACAGTGCAAAAGAGTAGAAAATAAAATATAGATCTAAATATAAATAAATCGCCATAATTCACCCTTAGCCAGGCAACGCTCTTAAATTTAGCATCAGAAATTAAATGCCTGTCAGGAAGTCTGCATTCATTTATAAAATGATCTGTCAGGATCCAGTTCTGTTCTTGATATGTGCTTTGTGCTGCACGTAAAGCTTTTGTATCAGTTTACACCTGTAATTAAATACTAACAACCAATCTGCAATTTGCAGTTTATCTTTGATTTGACAAGTATGACACCAGGCCACTCTCTCTTAAATCCTTATTGTTGTTCCAAAAGGCATCTTTTAGTACTTCCTTGTGGTGAACGTCTGTGCTTTCATTTAGAAAGGTTAGCTAAAACCGTGTTAGCTCACTATTAGATTTTAAATTACAGGGTAATCTGTGACAGCTAGGATCACTTTCTTGTCCACCTTTGACGGCGTTAATATTTTAAGTCTGGGGTTCGTTTTGATGTTGTGAGAGAAATGGCACTGGAAAAAACTCCATGGTACTCCAAAAATGTAACTATTTTCAATTGAAAATGTTTTTTAATACTTTAATGCTGAGGGTATTTTTAAATAAAAAGTCAATGCTGAACCTTAAGAGCTGTTAGGAAGCAGCTGAAAGCTCCCTGTGGACACATAACTTTACATTTTGCTAATATGAAGTTAATGTTTATTATAACAATTAGAACATTTATTTCTGAGTTAGTTTTAGTCTCGGTGGTGGGGTGCTGTTGCAGAAGCTCTGTCATGTTTATTTCCCAGTGTTGTATGATGCACAGCCCTGATCACATGCCCTCAGGGTCCTGTGGGAATAGATGAATGTCAATGTACAGCCATGCTTCTCCATGCAGGACCTTGAAAATTCATGGACAAGCTAAGATCCAATCCTTAATTTCCATTTGTTTTCATATTTATTGACAATATGCACTCATTAAGTGATCTTAGTATTTATTGCTGAACAGAGAAGGACTTGATGCCTTGTGCTCATACCATGACACTCTGCACCTCTATGCTTAGATTAACTAAACTAACCAGTGGCTTATAGATTTCTACAACATCTCTCAAAAACATAGAATGTTACTTATTTTCCTCAAGTGAATGAGACTCTAAATTTGCTGCTTCTATTTGTATGTGAGGTACAAACATTCTCAGAATTCATTAAACTCTCAAATAATGCCCCTGTTTTCATGTAGGAATGGTTAACACAATGTTTATCTATCTAATCATCTGACCTTGTTTATTCAACTAAATGTTCCTTAAAAAAACAACACGTGGCCCCTAATGGAGGCCAGGAGGACACTTTTGCAGCAATAGCCACTTTTAATTGCAGTATTATTTATATATATATATATGCACAGACGACTCTTCTCAATAACTAATAATAGCAATAACACAACACTGTTATAAAACAGCATGTAACAAGTAATTAAAATCCTAGACTGAATGTTTAGATCTTTTTGTTAATAGAGAATGGTTAGAGTTCTGTATTTATTGTTTCTGTAACCTTATGTCTTTGGCCTCTGGCATGTCCTAGCATTTTATTTAAAAAAATAAAATCTCTTCTGTCACTATCTGACCTTTCTCTATGAGCATGAGAGGAGGAGATCAGCTCATCTACAGAGGCAGAATGGCATTTTGCTGGCTTCTGATAACAGGGAGCTCACACTGACCACCCGGCTCAGTGCCTCACTCTGCTCCGTGCAGGGGCTGAGGCTGCCATGCTCTTTGCATACTGTAGTGGGTAACAAACAGACATAAACAGTCCTCCTCTCTACCTTCTCTTTGAACTCTGTTACACAGTTTAATATTACATAGCAACTGCTATTAGTGTATCCTTCCTATGTCCAGAGGAATTTTGTTTCTCTGTGGACTGTCTAAAGACTAACAGTCAACTGGTATGAATTAAGTAGATGTTTACTAATTGAGCACTCGGGGATGTGATAAAGTGCAAAATGCACAGTTTGGAGTCACGATTCTGTTTTGTTGTTTTTTAAATTTATTTGTTTTAGCAAAAGGACCAGCATTGTATAAAATTAGTGGAAGTATTATTGTTTTTCAACCAACACCTTTCACAACTTTTACTTTGAAAGCTTTCTGTTTCTATAGCATTAAAAGGCTCTTAGTAGTCGTGGTTTTCATTGATCATACTGCCCCTAGTGGTCACTAATGTTACAGTCACACTAGAGAAAACAGTGAAGGAGCAGCCGACAACAAAACGTGCAATCGACACGCCGTTCCACCATGTCGATTTCACTATTTGCCTCTTAAAATCAGTAAAAAGACACGCATGCAGAATTTACAGTAAGTTGCAGTAAAAGCAGAGGGAGAATTTTTATTTCAAGCCAACATGAAAATTACCACGGGAAAGCGTTTAAACAGACATTATTAACACATTTTCACGTAGATACATATTAGCTGCCTAGATTCATCATTTCTGGCTGTTAAGCACCCTGGAATGGCTTTAAAGATATCATCTCCCCCTGCTGGTAGTCCAATATCTGCATGTAGTAATGCAACTTCTGCAAGCGAGTCCATTTTATGTTTTGTCTGTTACAGGTTTTATGGATGAGACAACGGGTCAACCAAGATTATTAATCATTATTAAGCATTTCAATGAGACTTTAATAAACTGATCGTTCCCAGTTAGTTATTGGATTCAAAGCAACAGAGTCAGTCTGCTGTCAGTTTGGGATTGACTCGGGTGAAGCTGGCACTTGTATCATTATATTATCATTGATTATTGGTGATAAATGAACAAAAATCTGTGCAAACTACTTACATTCTACTTTTAATCTCATCCAAAATGGTAACATTGTTGCAGGATGGAAATTTACCTACAAATTTACAGGCACCCTTGCTTTTATATAGCATGTATAGCCAGAATTTAACAAGTAGTTAAGTTCAACCGCCGACTACAAAAACGAAGCACAGTCGTGCTCATTGGTGCACCCTGACTCAAATTGATTGCAGCATGTTGGCAATCTGCCTGTGTTTATTACACTAGATGAAAATTAGTCACAAACGTTAACCAGCCTGTCTATCAGAGAGTGACTCCAGCCAATCCAAGACTGACTGCAATTGTTTAGAGACGGGATGCCTCCCAAGAGGTGTTGTGTGCAGTTGTCTTGCAATCAGAAGTGCTCAGCCTGAGGTGGAATGTGCAACCGTTCATTGCCACGCTTACGAAAAAATTAAACACAGTCACCACAACCACCGTGTATTCCTAATCAGCAAGGAGATTGCTTTTGGACTATTTTACTCTAGTGTGACTGACCCAATAGCTAACAGAAAACTGTTTGGAAAACTTTGGTTTTTGTGTCGAGAACTATATGTACAATCTATGTATCTTTACAACCCCAATGAACTGTCTGCTTTTTCCTTCTAATTGTCACCACAGAGCCCTTCCCATTAACATATCTAAAAAGTGCATATGTCTGGTGAGAAAATTATGAATGACAAAACTAAAATAAAGCCTACTTCTGCAGTTTCTACAGTGACATGCAAGTTAGCTTACTGATTAGATGCAGTACACTGGTTGATTTACATTTCATTCACCCACTGTGTAGGCAATTTGTGAGTGGAATGGAGAGCATTGTGTAGTAAGAAAAGGCGAAGGAAAAAACCCCATTGTCAGGGGACAGCATAATTAAATAAGACACTAATGATTATGTGTATAAGAAAGCAAGCTGTTTGCTCGGATGCTGGGTTGTTTTTCCCATAAGGTCAGCTGGCTGCCGAGAGATGGATAGTGCCGTCTTGAGTGCTTATGAGGTGAGGCACACAATAAAGCAAATAATTCAGTTAGCATAATGATAACGGCTCTCTTGCATATGGTAGACACTATTTCATTTCCACTGAAGTGGCAGCATCCGAATCTGGCAGCACAGTGTTTTCCCATCAAACAGAGACAAGAAAGCTTTGCCATAACTACTTGAGGCTATCAAAACAACCTACAGATGCCTGGCGTCCTTCATGTTTATGGCTCCGAGATGACAAGGTCAGATGACGTCGTGAGCAAAGAAAAAGTTGCAGGATGCCATGTAGTGCCTGGAGTGGAAATAAAACCAAAGGGTTGCTGTCTAAATCCAAGCATGCCTACTGAGCAGAAGACTTGGCTTTTTGCCCATCTGCTGTCCATCACAGAAACTGAAAGCCAGCCACTGACAGGGTGTGATTTAGACAGATGGATGGCCAGACACGTGTTGTTTATTGCCGAGAAGGTCGGACAGCAGCGTGGAACTTTACCGCCAGCTTTGAAATCATAACTCAGCCTCGATCATTCCAACTACAGGCTGATTAAAAAACACACGCACCAAAAAGTGGATTTAGGCCATAAAAAGAGGAAGAGAACAAGAATAATTTGCATCATAACTGGTAAACTATAATTACTCTACTTTGAAATAAAATGGTTCCACTGAATGGCATTTCTCTCTGCCATTTAATGTTAAATTTTTAACAAAACTAGAACAAAACTTTTTTTTTCATGGGGTAAAAATACTCTTATGCTCTTTTTATTACATTCAAGTAAATGGTATTTGTGACATCGATTGCATTTACAAAAAAGATGGGGATGATGTTTCCCTTTTGAGATGTGCTGTTGCTGAGCAGACGGCAAGATAAAAAGCAAATGTTCTTCGGTTTTCTGTCAGCAGGACACCTCATTGACTGGAACCATCAACCAAAACATACCTGGCATTTTTAAACCTTAGCGAAAGGTTGTAAGTCAGACGAGAGCTTCCGTTTCCCATTTCCCATTCAGTGCATGGCAAGAACGAATTCAATCCCTTATGCGTTTGATAGATTGAATAAAACATTACATTCAGTCGTCTCTTACGCCAAGGTGAAAAAAGGGCTTTGATAGCACCAGCAACAGCCAGTGCAATGGGAACAACCAAAACTCCACGGGTGCAGAGAATAGCACAGCGGTGACTGTCAAAGCACCCCACTGATTTGTCAAAACAGCATTCTTACATGCTTTTTTTCTCCAGCTGTAACAGCTACTAAAGTGCTTTTGCAACTTTAACCGGAAGCATCTTTGAACATACCAAGCTACTTGTGATCCTGCCCAGTGCCCACCTATCATCTCCTAGTGCTTTATGTTTTGCTGTCTTCTTTAATTTACATATCCACAAAAGATAAGATAAGACAACATTTATCAGTTGGCTGGGGCAGGGAACAGTGGCAAAAAGAAATAGAGCAGGAATAAAAATAACTTTATAGCCTAGAAACTAAAATGTACACTAAACAAAAATATGCTCACGTATAGCTGGTTTGATGCTCTGTAATCTGTATGCACAGGCTGTAATAGCAGGAAATTTAAAGGAAAACACCTTGAAAGTAATTTACTGTTTACTTAATGTCAAGTCAAATCCCCCCCGGACTAAGCAACATAGCAGCTCAGTCCTAATAACAATAACAGTGCCTTTTAGCAACTTAAACATGACCTGGCCTCCTCTGATGCTTGAACACTGCTGAGGCAGGTCATGGATGTTGTTCTTGTTGCTGTATTTCCTGTTAATCCTCGCACCTTTTAAGGGTTTGCTCTTCAGGCACCATTCTCTTTCTGTCTTTTTAAAAGTAGAAGCTATTTCAAATGCTTGCCCTGAACATTTTAACCATTATTAACAACTTTCTGTCTCTCTCTACGGTTTTTAACAACATCTGTATAAGGAGAACGCATTCAATGGAAAGATTCCCTTTTATGCTTCCTGTGTTTTGTGGGGTTCCCCAAGAGTCTGTACAGGGAATCCCTGATTTTTTTACCATGTACAATATAACCCTGGAAAAATCAAATGTCATGTGGAAAAGAAAGTGTTTGCAGGACCTTTAAAAACAAAGTATATCCCAGGATTTATCAGCCTGTAGAACCACCTTTAACAGCGATAACTTTATATAATTGTTTGCTGTGTGACTTTATCAGTCTCACGTCATTGTGGAGTCATTTTGGACCACTTTTCCTTTCAACATTGCTTCATTTCAATGAGGTTTGTGGCATCCGTTGAGGCACAACTCTTTTAAGGTCCCACCGCACCATTTAAGTTATGTTGACTTTTACTTGATCTTTGCTGCATTCTGTTGCTGCTGTGCTTAGGATCATTATCCTGTTTCATGACCCAGTTTTAATCAAGCTTTAGCTGTCAGACAGATGGCCTCAGATTTGACTCTAGAGGAATCAAATTTAAGAACAGAGAAGTTCATGTTTGACTCACTGACTGCAAGGTGTCCAGGCCTGTGGCAGCAAAACAAGTCCGATTTATCACCCATCCACTGACAGTTAGTATGAGGTGTTTGTGCCGATATGCTGCGATTGGTTTTCCCTAAAGGTAGAGCTATGCAATATGACCAGCCATCTCAACTTAAGTCTCATCTGTCAAAGGAGATTGTTCCAGAAGTCTTTTGGTTTGTATATAACTGTATGTCCCCTTTAAAATCTCAGATTTCAAGTGCTGGCTTAGTATCTCCAATTGTCACCAGAAGGTGCTTTATGTAATATAAGGTAAAAGAGCCCACATTAAAAAAGAGGCCAATTTCTTAGATGTACTTAAGTTGATGACTAAAGTTATGCACCAACTAATAAATTTAATCAATATTTGGTTGCTTCTTTCATTTGAAGATCCGCAAAAAGGATTCACAGTGTTGTTCGTGGGTTCTGATTTTCAGATTACTCATTTTAAGCCTTGAATAGTCAAGATCTTAGATGTGATCTCCCTGCTCCTTGGACACCTTATTAGTGCTCGAAATCCTCCCTCAGTTCATATAAATGCGAGAAGTCGGCAAAGCTGATTGACACCAACCAATGCCTCGTGCAACTTCATTGTTCTGCATGTCACTCCCAGGTTGAATTGGATTTAGCAGTTTTACGTTCTACTCCTGACCACAAATTTCAGCTTTGATGCATGTGCTTATCATTATGTTGATACTAAAGTTATACTATAGATATTTTTACAGCATACCAGAATTCATGATAAGAAATTGTAGTTTGTCACTAATGTTATCTGGATATTTAATACTTTGTGTTTTTCTCATTTTTTCAGACAAACCAGAAGTTAAGATCGTGGTAGAATTTCCTCAGGGTCTGACCAGAGAAGGAGAGAACCTGGAACTGTCGTGTAAATTCAGAGGCAAACCCGAGTAAGACACAAGCAAACACACGCAAACATACACATTTAACCAATTAATGACAGCCATGGTGAAACAGGTATGCCTGCCTGCTAACAGTTGCACATCAGTGTATTCACTGACATACCATCAGTGCATTGTGGTGTGTGGCTGTCTTTTACTGTTTTAGTTTTGCTGTTGAGAAGTAATGAACATAGCAGCAGTTAGCTTGCACTGGCATTAAAAAGCATCTGTACATGGAAAAGACATAATTTCAAAATCTATGATTATTCAATCACTTTTTTTTTTCACAAATCATGGTCACAATACATAATGCAATTATACACAAAAAACCCCCCAAAACTAACAAAAAACAAAACTAACAAAAAGACCCCCCCCCCTCCCTCCCTACCCGAGGCTCACATAAAGAGAAACAGAACAAAACAAACAAAAAATGTTTTTATATAGTCAATAAATGGGTTCCAACAGAAGGCTGTACGGGGCTTTTGCTGGTAGTATTAGGAATACAGTACTATGCAAAAGTCTTTAGCCACCCCTGATTTCATCACGTTTTATTTCCTCAGAGGCAGACTTTCTTATTATATTTAAAGTAGTCTTGAGCAATCGTTCTCCAAGCTTTCTGACAGTCTTCCAAATTTTTCTTTGGATGTTGGCTGCTGTTCACTCATTTTCAATCCAGTCTTTGTACCTGACCATTTTCAGAGGAATCTTTTTTTTTCCAAAGCTGCTCAACACTGAACAAAGACTACAGAGTTTGACCATCGTGATTCCCATAGAGCTGTTAACTGAAAACTTTGCATATATGATAATTGAGGACAAAAGAAGAATAAGCACGCCTAAAAAAAAATATCTACAGCAGATGAACAGTATCCAAAAGTCATGTCCTGAAGAAAAAGGAAAAATCCAGCTCAGACTTGACACAGGACCTCAGAGTTGCATCTGACCCCGGCTGATCCAACAATGGAGAGTCATCAGAAATGGTGGAAGGGTGGCACAGCATGACAAAGATCCCAATTTCCCATTTTCCTAGAAAATGTGGGGTGGCTCAAGACTTTTGCACATCACTGTACATACAGCATGTTTTTGGTTTTTGGTATTAGAAATTTGCTCACTGCTGTATTTTTTGTTCTGCAAGAATATTCTGTCTGTCGAGTTTGTACTGACTAAAGCACTATTTACGTTTTTTTAATACGTTCATTTAGGTACTCACAACACTTAGGAAAGACCATGGTGTACTTTTAATACAGTAAAAAAAAGCAACAGTGACTTGACACACAGTGTGTTTATGTACATTCAATCAAAACCCAATTCAAAGTGCTTTTGTTGCCTAAACCTAACCACAGATGGAAGTCTGGATGTGAAACCCGGTCCTTTGTGTAAGAGTCGCTTTGTACGCCCACCATCCACCAAAAACACCTCCTGCTGTCTATGTTACAATTTGTAAATGTGGCACATTGGCACACAAAAACTAATGTTAATCTAATGCAGCCAGACAGTACATTCAACCCAAGCATAGAAAAAGGAAAAACACAAAAGCACTATTAGTTTGTGATTTATTGGAGCCTTCGTTGAACTATGAGAAAACATGCAAATATGGAGTGCATATTGCTATTCACAGTATCATGCATTAATTTCATCTGAGGCTTCCAGACCATTCATGGTTACACTGCACCTTTGAAGTTATAAAAGGACATAAGTCCAAAGACTTTCCCCCTTTGTAGTTAGTATAAGACCGCAAAATAAAAGTGAATGGAGAAAAGCAGACAGAAAATATTCTACTGGATTTGAGAACTCAGAAGCAGCAGTGGGTTTAGTTGAGGTAAAATGGCGAGGATACTATAAATTTAGTTCTCTCATTAGCTAAACTGGCATAACTTATAATGCCAGTGATGAATCATTGGCTTATTGTAAGCATAGAGTTTTTATTCTCTTTTGATGGGTAACATAACATATACTGCACACACCTCCAAAGTATGTGTCTGTGTGTATGAGTGAGACACGTTATATATGTCTAGTGTACAGTACTGTGCAAAAGTCTTGAGCCAATCCTTCTTTATATTTTGCTCAGAAAATGGGAAATAGGTGCAGCAACTTATTGAAACGTGCAACATATATGGAACGACTGTATATAAGGTACTGTAAAAGCAGAGTCTGTATGGTTCTAACGAGCTTCAGAGTTAATATTTGGTATGACTTCCTTTATTCTTTAGCATAGCCTGAAGTCTCTTTTGTCATTTCTTTAACTAGTCTTCTGGAATAGTTCTCCAGGCTTCTTGAAGGCCATTTATTCCACACTGCTTCAATAATGTTGACGCCTGGGCTCTGGGCAGGCCAATCCATGACTGATAGTGCTCCATGGTGTGTTTTTCTATCCAACTATGCTTTTACTACAGTGTGTTTGAGAACATTATCATGAAAAACAAAGCCGTTGCATGATCGCCAACACCACTGGGGAAGCTCCAAACCATATCAGAGCCTCCACCGTGATTTACAAATTACTTGCCACTCACTATTCTACCTACTGGAATCACTCCATAAGACCTGCTGGCATTGATTTTTAGTCCAGATCCTTTGTAATTAGCATGCGTCTCCGTTTTCTCCCTGTTTTCATTCCGTAAGAATGGCTTCTTGACAGCTACCCTTCCACCGGGACATTTCTGATGAGGCTTCAGTGAACAGCAGATGTATCAACTTAAGGGCTAGATGCATTTCTGAGGTCCTATGTCAGGTCTTTGCAATACATTTCCATATTTTTAGGGACATGACTTTCAAATGTTTTTTTCTGCTGTAGTTTTTTTGGTCTGTCGCTTCTTTTGTCCTCCACTTGTCTAGTTCCATCGACTTTCTTAAGGATGCACTGTTTTTGGCTAATAGCTTGTTATTAGCATCTGATTTTGGCTAATAGCTTGCTATTAGCATCTGATTTTGGCTAATAGAACCTTGTTGTTCTTAAAGATGCAATTTAAAATTGGATCTTTGGTCAATTTTCTGTTATGTTAAGTGGCTTAACAAAAAAAAGAAGAATTTATCTGAAAACACCTTCTGTGGAGATACTGTTGGTTTTGTCCATTTTGGGTTATAGCTGTGGCTGAATCCATAAGCGACAACCTTTTCCCATTGTAGATATAAAAGGGCTCATTATAAGTTAATGAAAAAACTGTGATTATTATTTTCAGTGAACTATACACCAATGCAAACATAATAATGAGTGTTGTAAGGTAATGCGATTGTTGTCTAAATCCTGCATACTCGACTTTCCAAGTCTTCCCCATTTAGAACAACCAAGCATCTCTCAGATCTCCAGAGTTTTTCTTTAGGGGTATCTTGTTAGTCCCTTTATTATGCTGTAATATTAAAACCACCTGATTATTATTGTTTTAGGCCTCTTGTATAGGTGTTCTGGCATTGACATGTGACATTTAAAGGTGTCCTGTCATGTCTGGTGGAATGACTTTGGTAGCAGTTCCCTTGGGCCCTGTGGGTTCTGGGGTGGAGCTTGCTTGCCTTTGTACATCCTGTATATGTTTAATCACATGGGGATCTAGCGAGTTTGAAGGACACATCAGTACTTTGGACTCTTGGTCATGCTTCTTGAGCTTATCTGTGGACTGTTTACTAATTGGTGGGCCACATTGTTCAGCTGATATATGCCAGTGCTACAGGCAGTACTATTATCATGTGGAGCGTGCGTAGTCTGTTTGCTCAAAATACCACCCACGTGAATGCCACTACTCAACATTCACCCAATTGTAACGAGATGATCCGTGCCATGTCCTGGCATTAAAAAAAGTGACTCGTGAACATTGCCTCATGGGCTAAAACTTAGTTTTTGATGACAAATTAGAAAATTGGAAATGCCAAATGTCACAACTCTGTGGAAGAGGAAGCTAAGAGTGGTACATAAGCCTGACAAGCACAGTGTGTTGTTTTACTCAACACTGGCTCTAGAACTAATCTTCTCGCGGACAGCAGAGATTTCTTCTAATTAGCCGATGGAGTTCAGCTGATGGATAGAATGGCTGTGAAAGTACAGTTTCAGGGAGAAAAACTGTGAGTGGAATGTGATAAGGACCTGGGTCCTGGCTAGTCTAAATACCCATTACTGGCTACATAATCACGTAATTGAATGGCTTCTATGTTCGTTTTTCAGATTTCCAAAGGGGAAATTTGAAAACTGACCTGTAATTATGAAATACATCAGAATTACTGTGTGATATTTTGAGCAGGTATTTAATTACTGCTGCTTTAAAAGTGGAGGACCGAGCAGAAGGGCATTAATAATAGTGAGGGGAGTGGGTCCTAATGTCTTGCAGTTAGAATTTCAGTAGGCAGAGAGTTGAATAGGCTGGGTGTTTTTTCCCCTAAATGATGAGTGATAATATTCTGAAGGTATCTAGGGAAAGTGTATGAGGCTGAGAGAGACTATGTTGATGGATTCGAGACACTGGATATGCACTCATGAAGTCAATTTTGTGATTAAAGTTAAATGATTATTTGTGGTACACAGAGCTGTGAACAGAAAACTGTCCTCAACTAATTTTTCTCACCATTTTCAAAACTTACAGTGACTCGGTGCAAATAAGCCCTTTGAAATGCCTAGCCTTATCATCTGAAAGCTCCAGCTTGTTGCTCATTAGGATATTATTTCACCTGCATCATCGGTAAACCCAGCTGTTGGTTTGTTTAGATGGCAGGTCTTTGTGATATGAGATGTAATGGAGTGCAAATGAAACCATTAGGGAGAGCAGGGTTGAGCGTAGCCCTGAGAGCCTCCGGCAGGAGACCTGCTGAACTGTTCAAATATCAATAAATTGTACTTGGTGCTGTTGAAATCTATCAAATTAGTATGTTGACAAGCTAGTTCAAATTTGAACAGAACACAGTCATGAGATGAAGATGCTGTTATGAAAATTACATTACAAACTCAATGTGACCAACTTGCAGGTGCTTCTTTTGTTCAAATTCAAAGGTAAATTGCAGCCTTAGAAAAAGGCCCATGCCATGAAAACTTA